ATTCCTAGCCCTCCCTTTCTGCAACCGTATCATTGTCCCAAACTCCATTAATCTTGCGCGCCACCTTACTTTCATTGCATTTTCGCATTTTCCTCTACACGCCATTCGTTCATGAGTAGCAAACGAATTTGTTCCCATGACAATTCCACCTCAAAGCTAGTATATTCAAGCTATGTACCAAAATGTTGGAAAGACAAAGCGCATTTCAATGATGCTAATAGTCTGAGATTTTAATTACTTCTGGTTGATTAATTCGTGTTTGTTGTTTTAGTGAAAAAACTTCTGGAACGACCTGATAATCGGGTCAAATGCGAGCAAAGTTTTTAGCTATGATGCGATAAAGGAGACAAAGGTTCAAAAGTTGTTTGAAAATGAGCTCGACATGAAGAGAAGGACGAAAAAAAAGAGGCAGAGTGCACAACCTTTGATGTGGATTAGAACATTCCGTAAATAATGGCGGACATATTTCTCAGCAGTGTTTTGCAAATCATGTTAAAAAATACTTGTTCCTGACAAGGTTTTAGCTTATGAAGGACTAAAAGTATTGCAAAAAAATTGCAAAGCAATAAGAACACTATGCCTGATCATTTTTAGCACGCACACGCTAATAAAATTAATTCTATCGGTTTCTTATTTATCTAATGTTCTCAATACAACGCTAATATTTTCCTATGTTGAGCTATTGCTTGAAGATGCTTATTCAAACTGAATTTTGGTACGGGTCGCGACTAAACAAGCTGTTCTAAGAAGCAACAAATGGAGCGATCTTAAGGAGGGTATCAGTGGACTCTGGAAATAAGAAAGACAACCGAAGGCGAGCGAAGACGTAAAACATCCTTTTTCATAGAGAAATTATATTCAAAACAAGGAGTTTTTGAAGGAGTTGAGCACGTTTTTTCTTGTCAAAGTTGCTAATTACTATTAAGTGACAAATTGATATCAAATTCTGTTTTATTACATATGTGAGTCAAGTTGAGAAGAATGCTAATATAGTGTAAAACAGCCAATTTTAGTCACCTCTGACGCGTTTTCACAATCAACGGTAGCAACCTTACAGTGTTACAGTTCACTGATAATTTAACCAAAGCATCATGTAAAAATTCCACTGAATGCTGGTGAATTCACATTTTAATTTAAATGAAGAATCAATGGACCGGTCGATTAGTCATACTTTATCGCGAACTGACTTATGAATAGCACTGTTTTTTAGAGAACAAGTTGGGTTTTTCCTTGTCGAACGTCACGGCCCTCACATGTGCCCTTCCTTCCACTCTTACCTAGAAGTTGAACTTCATATCTAAACTATAACTAACTGTGTTATAATGATTTCTTGGAATACTGAATGCGTTGAAAAATGGAAACAAAAAATACTGCTAATGTATGTAGCGCAATGGTTCAAAGTGCTGTGCATTAGACACTTAATCCACACTTGGTTCGATTACGCGACACATTTCTCCAAGTTTTCATTAGTCTTCGTGGTTAGTATAATGTTACCGAGCTTGCCTGGGATAATAGTAGTACTGACCTAGTTTATTAGTAGGCCATCGTATTTCTTAGTAAAGGCTAGGCATGTTCTCAATTACTGTGATAATACTGGCAGAGTCCAAAGACATGGTGAATCCGTCAGGTTTTGATCGACCTCGATTATTTTTCCAAGTACTCCGCAATAACTAATCACGCTTTTGCCGTAGCAAATATTTGATTTTGCGGGTAGATTACAAGGTATTCAAGCTGATTATGAGGTAGTCAAGCTAGAGCAAGATTCCATCTCATTATTTAGGTACTTAGACGTTTACATCATAGCAAGGAATGCTGAATCACTCAGGTTAACGAGAAAATGACGTCGAACAAACAAGAGTTCTGCAATCATCGAAAATCTACATCTAGGTATTCTACTGTATAGTAATACAGGCAAGCAGGCAAATGTGCAATTGTAGGAATTGTGACTGGCCTTAAGGCATGATAAATAATTAGCGTAACAAAGTGGAAAGGCGGTTCAAGTAAAATAGGTGATCCATTTAATAACAGGGATGACATCTCATCAATGATCCAAAGTTGATCTGCATGCTCACTCTGTGTTGATCCTCTGTCCTAATGACCAGGCAAGATTATCAACGTCTTCAACTTTTTTATCTTAGAGATCCAACATGTTAAGATGCTGATAAATCGATTCCTAGCCCACGTTTCTCAGATTAACTTGAGTCTTGCTCTACTATTTATCCTTCAAAACGCTCTAAAGACTGCAAAAAATGTTTGACTAGAAGAGTATTTTGATGTTTCGAATAAAATTCAATGCTTTATTCTGACTGCGACAAAAATTCTATAAATTTCCGCCTTCGATGTTGATGAACATTGAATCGTGATCATAACAACGAATTCGGCAACCACTAATGTGTAGCAAGAGATCGGAAAAGGTCGGAAAACTCACCAACATCCTTGTACTTTGGGTGTGTAGCAGAGGTGAGCAGATAGAAAAAAATTCAGTTGGGAATAGTTTGCGTGGAAGCTCGGAACGAGTAAGGACAACACTTGGTTGAACACCGTCAATTATACATCGATTCTGGTGTTATGGAATGCTGCCGAAAAGCGGAACCCGATTAAGACGGGTAAATAACCGTTGGCAGTGACATAGCGAAATAGTCAAATAAGCGCTAACTCTAATATGGGGAAGGATCGAAAGTGAAAGGAGATTATAACGCGCTATGCCACCATTCCTTTCCGTCTTTTTTGCCAAGTACGCAGCACTTCAATAAAAATCCCAAGTGCACTCACAAATGGCTCAAAGACTCTTAGCACCAACACCTTCTGAATACTTCAAATTAGATAATTTTTTCTTGATGGAAAATAAGCGACGGAACTTTTCAGAGGTCTTTTGAGATCTGAACCGTTCACGGCATTCTTAGTTCGTTATAAGGGTAGCAAAGAAATTGTTCAACACAATTTCTTGTTGATTTCTCATATTCGAGATAACGAGAGTGCATGTGATTTTGCTGAACAGAACATGTATGTTCGGCTAACCCGTTGGCTGCAATTGCAGTATGTTGTGAATGCAATACATTTTTTCTACGCCTATTACATCGAACACCTTTGAGATCTCAAGTCACCTAGAATTAGAGACTTAATTTGGAAAACCTACAAACACCTTGGTCATAAGTCCGACTTTGTGACCTTTTGATTTTCCAGAAATCCTCAACTTTTTGCATTATCACTTAGCTGTTAGAACTCTAAAAGAGTAGTTCTTCGGCAGTGGCGAAAACTCATTCCAGACAACATAAGTATCTGAGAAAGTGGTCAATAAAGCTGAGTGGCTTGCTGGGAGTTTAGAGTTAAGAAATGTTCTGGATGCACTCATAACCAGCGGAAGTTCGGCCAATTTCACGCCCTCGAAACGATATCGATATTCGTAAAACGGCTAGACGCTGTGGTTTTTCGTTTTAATAATGCAGTTACAAAAAGAATAATGAGTATCCACTAAGCTCTTTGGAACTTAGATCAACTGCATTAAATGTATTCACTTTGGTTATCTTATAGTAATGGTGGGCTCCAATTAACCCAATTCATATTAGCCTTGGTAGGCCTTAATTTTTTTTGTTTTATATACTCTTATGAGAATTGAGTGGTGGTCAAAAACACGACCTCAGGCGGAAGTCGAACCCGCGTTTCATCCATACCGAGGACTCGTGCTACCACTACGCCACCGATTTTATTTGAGACACTCTTATTTTCAATTTTCAGGAAATCTCTTGCTTTACTGTTTTTCCGCAGTGCTTTCAAACCAAATATACATCTTGAGTTGGGAGGCGAAATGTCGACCTCAGACGGGAGCCTAACCCGTGTTTCACCCACCCATACCGGAGGCGCGTGGTCCTCAAGGCTTTTTGTTATTTTCTTGGCCGGAATGTAACCGTTGGTGGTTTTTGTGCCATGCCTTGGCATATACATGTTATTCTGAATAAAGATGACAAATTGGTCTTGTAGGTGACCGTATTAAGTGTGAGATAAGGTAATGGTAAACCTTCTCAATACCTGCTCTTAACTATGATCAACTTTTTGGTTTATAATAAATGTATATGGTAAATGAAAGTCGGCATTGGAGATGTTTTCGTTTGTGCACTACAATTGTCTTACTATCAGCTTAACCAAACTCTTCAACTAGTTGGCAACAACGGTATTCTGGTTCTTTAATAGAATATTATAAGGATCTTGTAATACCGTGGCTCAAGCTTGCCAGCAGACGAGAGCAAAAAATACTCAAAACTCATCCAGATTCGTATGAAACATTGAATTTTAATGATTTGATTGGTTAAACTGAATAGAAGGAAAATAACCAAAATAAATATTGATCTTTTTTCACCATTCAATACATTTCTGCAAATATTGCTGATATGATACCACCCAAGGAAGTTGTTTGAGATTTCAAAAGCTCTCTTCGAAAAAAAGAAAAAATTTATACATACTCATCAAGCAAGGTCTTATCCTCTAAAGAATGCCCGAGGCAAAAGAGGTGCTCGTAATGTCCTTATTTCAAGTTGCCCATGCTTATTTGATGATCCGAATATAGTTTTGCAACGGAGTTAATTATGAAACTCTTGGAAAATGTAATTGATCCTTCACAACGTTTTAAAAACAGGTTGCAATTCTAGCAACTTGGGCTAAATTTCAATAGCAATGTTACCCTTTGTGGCAAATTATGCCTCCTCACGATTCTTAAAGCTTTCGTTAGCATTGTTTCGGTATAATATTGAAACCTGTTTATGCGATTTGTTCAATAAATCATCAAATTTTTCGCATATGTTTAATTTAGAATTACACCTAATAAATATGCAAATCAAAATTGACCACCGACGATGCTTCTTCAGAAGGGATCGATTAGAAGTAAAGTTCTTTTTGTTTCTGAATAAAAATTCTTTCGGTGGAATTAAATTTATTCAACCGTTTTAGTGGTGGTAAGATTTCATAGATATACCCAGTTATGTGAGTGATGTGCAAAACTATCGCCTCACGTCAGACGGGACTCGAACCCATAGCTCACTCTACCCAAGATTGCGTGCTGTAACCCGTTGCACTACTGAAGCCTATGTAATTTCTAAACCATATTTATAGATAACCTATGCAAAAATGAGGAAAAATGGAGAAGAAAAGAAATGAAACGGCCTCAAACAATTCAAAGCACTAGCCTTAACTGATTGTCTGACCGCCTCTGATAAGCAAAAAATCATATAATATGCCCTAACGATTGAGACAGTGATAGCATGAGTTCGAGTGCAATATACCCAACCTCTTGCAATGCATGCGGGACGAATACATCGGAAAGCGAGTAGACCATTCTGTATCCGTATAGGAGCGCAGCTTGTTGTAAACTTCAAGCCAAACAAGGCACTCCAAAAGGCACGCATAGAGAACAAATACAGGATGTTATAGTTAGTTAACTTGCACATAAATCCTGACCATCTGCGAGAATTGCTTTGCATCTTTTTGAATGACTGCCAAAAATCGTAGAAAGAACCTCATGAAGGACGTCTCCCTATCACGCGTGACCTGGTACCATATCTTCACCCGATTTTTTTCCGATCTGAACCAGTTATATTCCTACGCCATGCAAGACTCTTCAAGGCTTCTCTCCAATGAATAATTGGAACAATTATCGTGACTGCTTGAATTTCACAGTCTTTCTCATTTCAAAGTAATTAACTTCTTTTCAAGCATCACCACCGTTTATTGAATAACAAATATCTATTATGTAATATATCAACCGTCCTTTCATTTGTCACCAAAGACATTCAAACGATAGCATATTGGTAATATAAGTTCGGACTGAAGAGGAACTTAAAATAATCTGTAACGCACTCAAAATCGTTTGAATTGCTCTTCCGAATCTTCGAAACTGACATGCTAACGGTCATCTCTTTCGTTTTCTAAAGATCGAGAAGATGTCAGTCTGTTAGCCGAATATAGTCCTATGCTCCCTCCGTGTGAGATGCAAAATCTGAAGAAATATGTTTCCTGATCTTCAGGTGTGAATGGTTACCCATGTTCTCAGTCGGAAAATCACCTAAGGAAAGCAGTTCCAGGAATGTTCTCACAAAACAAATAACCTTTGTTTGTCTACTGCAGCTCACCAGCGCAGCATAGTTGTTACAGAAGTAGTATAATTCGTACAAAAAAGAAGTGATGGAAAACATTATGAAAACTTGGTGTGACGAAGGCAACCATAATTTCTTGGTAAAAGACATTCCTTAACCTCGACATTGCCATTGTACTTTTCTGAATAATTGAGATAACAGGAAGATGGTAAATAAACCTTATTTCGCCAGCGTTTTGACCTCTCGGTCTTTTTCAGAGCTGATAAATTGAGTTCACTGCCCCCAGGTGCGTTTTTGCATTGTAGACCTTCTTTGGTGTTCAAGTTGAATCTTCTGCCGTGGAACACCGCACGAATGGATAAACAAACACGGTGAAACACATCCATATTTTTTTCGAGAAGTACTGGTGAAACAAAGATATTTTATTAATACAGTATTGAATGATTTGAAGTGTTACGCAAAACTTCGCACCTCAGACGGAAATCGAACCAGTATTCACCCTTTCGGGTGTTTGCTAACCAATCGTACTAGTGGGGCTCCTGTTCTGCTGCCATCCTTTTTGACACAAACAATCGCTTTGTCAGCAACCAACCGTCAAACGATTAGGCCTCGTCAGCACATATAGACATTGAAACTAGTTAGCTCCAAAAATATCGGATATACGTAATCAACAACAATCCTTTATCTAACACGTTGACAACGATCTGAGCTGTTATTAGGTCAGACCGCACGCCGCGTGTACGGCGGGGCCGCGCGGCAGGAATCTTTATCATCACGCCTTGCAATGGAAATATGGGAATTTGCTTGGTAATCTGAGGCACTGAGGGAAGATCGTCGTGATTAAATGATGAAATGTAGCAGAAGAGACCTCTATAGAAATTTTATAGTTAAGAGAATGCCCATGTATCGAAAAATCGTCTATTTTTCAGGGGGGAAAGCACATTGTTGCGGAAGGGAACATATTTCCAGCTGTTATGTAATTCCGTATCTTTCTCTTCTGTGGTTTTATAGTCATTCGATAGCCTGAGAAATGCCTATTCTCCCACTAAGTTTGCTTCGTAAAATTACTTGTATTTCACTATCTGCTAACGAAAAAAAGCTAACGTTTACAGGCAAAGATCGTTTTAGTGAGTATCTGCCATTTTTCTCGAGATTCGACGTTTTAGGGGAAAGCATCGCCATTGTTTTTGCTACAGATACTTTTATCGATGTCTCTTCTATCATATTTTATCATCTGTTGGCCACGAAATTCCCTTTAGTGACAATAATAATCCACATTTGATTAGAAAACTACCACAACACCATTGTATCCGCCGCGCTTACCGCGCGGCGGCGTCGCGTGTCGTGTAGGATTTCATTGACGAGTTAAACCCTCTTTCAGCGATGGTGTTATATTATAACTATAGCAGAAATAGCGTTAACAGAAGAGGCGCTTCAGTAGTGCAACTAGTCAGCACGTACTACAATAAAGGGTGAAATGCAGGTTCGATTCCCATGTGAGCAACGTTTTGCATACCACTCTAAATCATGTGATATATAAATATTAGGTCGTTCCATAATTTTGGCACTAGAGCAACAAACACCAAATTCATTGACCAGAAGCATTTAAAATTGCAAGACTCTGATATGGTTTGAATGCGCATTTTCTTGCAAACATTTTGGTATACAATTTCCCTATACTTGCTCAGATGGAGCTCTCTGGGTAACAGCTTTTCTTGTTATCCATGCACGAATGGCCCGTAGAGAAAAACGCTAGTGAAGCGGCGCAAGATTAATGGAGCTTCCTGTGGACGACCTGAGCGCGAGTGATCCTCCAGACTGTTCCCTCCAGCTTTGAACTTCCTGAATCACCTCCTAGCCGTCCTTTCTACAACCGTAACGTCGCGCTAAGCTTCATCAATCTTGTGCGCCACTTTACTAGCATTTTCTCCTACGCGCCATTCGTGTACGAGTAGCAAACGAATTTGTTCTCAAGACAGCTTCATTTTGAAGCAAGTACAGGCAAGTTGTATACCAAAATATTTGCAAGAGAATACGCAATCAAATATTATCATAAATATTAAGTATTAAATAAAATATTAGCAAGAAAATACGCAGTTAAACGATACCAAAATCATGCATTCAATTACTTTTGGTTAGGCAAAGATCGACAAGCTATGCTTTTTTCTCAGATGCTAGCAAAATCTCACCATCAGTTAGCGATAGAAATTGGATATCAACTTGCTAAATGAAGTTTAGCGTTTATAGAGATGTATACGCATTTTTGTCAAGTGCGGAAACTTCATGCTTCCAGTTTTAAGTTCTAAACTCAGAAATGGCTTGACATTGTGCAAGATAGAAATCAAAGTGGCTTCGCTAGGCCATAAAATCCACTTTAATTAATATTTAGTAGTTGGAAAAATAAGGCATGGACAGTTTAGATCTTCTGTCTCTCTTATAATTCCTGTTCGACTTATCAAACCATAATGTGGCGTGACGCCACACATTGTCTATTTCCACTATCAAATCGATAGCACCCACTATCCATCACCCGTATTCCGGACATTTCATCACCGCTAAATCCGTTAACGACTTCTGTTCCTAGTGTTTTCTTTCTCAAACTTCCACACTTTCCATGATAATTCGCTCCGTAATGACGTTTTATACACTTTTACGATAGTAATTAACAGTCATTATCAAGACCAACTATCGGTCAACCTCGGTATTGATCGAACAATACAGAGTATTTCCTTTCAAGGTGATCCAAGATGCCTTATAATAGTGTGCCTTGAGTACAGTAGTGATCTAGTACAATGGAAGTAGGATGGCTGACGTTTCGACAAATTTCGCTTTTTTCAAGGCCTAGAAAGGTCCTATTCAACTCCAATCTACCAAGTTAAATACCCTCATGACCCCGGCAGAAAGGCGTAATAAACAAATCTTTAGAAACACTATTATTAACAACCTTTGATCTACTAAACAAGGTAGCTGTATTTGTTAACAGCTGCATCAATACTTAGCTTTTCATAAGGAAATCTTCAAAAGTTTTCAGGTATTTTCTGGATTGGTTTCGAATGAATGCATGTCATTCTGAAGGATACACATTTTCTAAGCCTTGACATGACTATTGAAAAATATTTCACAAATTGTCCTTTTCTTTGAATAGGACTCGCACGAGGTTGCTATTCCTCCTCTCAAGTTCAATGGATAACGTTCCATATTTTTTGTTTCGAGTGTTTTCTTAAGACCACAGCTCAAATTTCATTATGCCTGGTAATCATTATTTGAGCCACGCATGTCAGTGGTCTGTTAATGAGGGCTGACTTATAGAGCCCGATACACGTGTTTCGATCTTGCGATCTCGTCAGTCGGGCAGTTGCCCTCTCTCGTCTTTTGCTAATCTCTGTGGGTGCTCCAGTCCCCACAATAAGAGTTAGCGACGACGTACGATTTACACTCTATGTCCGGTAAAAAACTGTACAACACTCTGTGTTTGGTGAGTTTTTTACCGGACATAGAGTGTAAATCGTACGTCGTCGCTAACTCTTATTGTGGGGACTGGAGCACCCACAGAGATTAGCAAAAGACGAGAGAGGGCAACTGCCCGACTGACGAGATCGCAAGATCGAAACACGTGTATCGGGCTCCATAAGTCAGCCCTCATTAACAGACCACTGACATGCGTGGCTCAAATAATGATTACCAGGATAACGCTTCGTCAATTTGACCTTCGTCACAGTCTGGACATACTATATCATACCATAACTATATACACAGTTGATATTTCGTATATGTAGCAAAAATCAATATGTGTAAATGCGCCACCTAAACAACAATATGGGAGAGGTCACCGAAGTGCTGTGACACAGTGTGAAAAATAAACCTTACAGGCTAGGAACTGAATCTAAGATTAGGCGATTTATGATTTGTTATATTCTCACACTGTTCCCTCTATTTGGTCGTGAACTCTTGCGGTCCATTCACAAAGGCATCGTGAGTTTTTCGCGCCGGCG